TCCTGGGTCCCCCCGTGCCCCTTGCATAGCTGGGGGTGGAGCCCCTTCCCTAGCCCCTACAGCCCCAAGCAGCACCCAGCCCTTGTCTCCACGAGCAGGGCCGTGCACCCACCCCAGCAGTGCAGCTACCAGCACCCCCCGCCCTGCACCCCAGCACAGGCACCCTCACCCCCTTGCCCCATCCCCACAATGGCGCAGGTACGTCCTGCAGCCAGGGAGCACTCGGTACCAAAAGCACAGGCAAGACCCCACACGGCTCACACGTCCCCCACTGAATGCTCCCCCTGGAGCTGCCAGTTGTCAATCCCAGACCTCATACCACTGGGTCCCGGTCCCGAGATCAGCCTCCTCCCCAGGGCTCCGCTCGCATTCCCCAAGGCATCCTGCTCCACCTGGAGCCCCTGGCCCAGCCGGCAGCACCAGGCCTCAGGACAGCCGGGACCCCCCGGGGGGCTGGTGGCAGCCCCTGCTGCAGGGCACAGCCGGCTGACAGCAGGGAGAGCAGGAGCAGAGGCTGGTGGGGCACCAGGCTGGTGACCCAGGGCTGTGGACAGGGTGCTGGGGAGCATCGCACCCTGACAGAGGCTCCTGCATTCCCGGGGCTGTGGGGGCTGTGATGCAACCTGGCCCCCCCGAGGCACTGAGCCTCCCCTCTGTGCCCCAGGAGAAGCGGAGACTCTCCCGCAGCATGACCGAGAGCAGCCTGGGCAGCTCCGAGGGGACACAGCCTCTGCCAAGCCGAGACACCACTGGTGCTCAGCCCAGCACTGCAGGTACTCTCCACCATGGCTGCTGGCTCAGGGCACCTTCCTGGGTGCTCACGTGCCCCTTGCATAGCTGGGGGTGGAGCACCTTCCCTAGCCCCTACAGCCCCAAGCAGCACCCAGCCCTTGTCTCCACGAGCAGGGCCGTGCACCCACCCCAGCAGTGCAGCTACCAGCACCCCCAGCCCTGCACCCCAGCACAGGCACCCTCACCCCCTTGCCCCATCCCCACAATGGCGCAGGTACGTCCTGCAGCCAGGGAGCACTCGGTACCAAAAGCACAGGCAAGACCCCACACGGCTCACACGTCCCCCACTGAATGCTCCCCCTGGAGCTGCCAGTTGTCAATCCCAG